AATTCTCTGTGCCTCAGTTTCCTCCTGTGTAAAGTGAAGAGCATAATGACACTTCTCACCTAGGGTTGCCGTCAGGAGTAAATCAGTTATCACACCGAAGTGTTTAGAACAGCCCCTCCATGAATGTTAGTTTCCATTATGCTGACAACTTTTTGTTGGAAGGAAGAAAATAAACAGAGCTTCTTTTGAACATATTTTCTTTTTTAAAAGTTTCATTTGCGAAGAGAAAGGTAATGGAGATGAGACAAAAAGGAAAAGATGTATAGGAAATAGCAACTATTATCTATTTAGTAGCATGTGTGTAAAAGACACTGTAATACTTTATCTCATCTGCTTGTTATAACAACTCTTTGAGGTAGGTGTTATTATTAGTCATCTCCAGATGAGGCAGCTCAGCTTAGAGCTTCATGATGTGCCCATGATTACACAGGAGATTTGAGCCCTAGTCTATCTGACTGTAAGCTGCATACTCTGCCCTCCATAATAAACTGCCAGGCTGGGAAAAAGAAGGAGAAGGAGGGGGTAAGGTGAGAGAAATAAACTAATGGAGAGAAGCAGATCAAAGTACCATATACATTTTCAGCCATGAGCTGCAACTAGAGGGAAAACATAAACACTTAATGTCAAGATTGTAGGGATAAAATGTGACATCATTCTCACCACTGATGAAAACTAGCATTACTAGTAGCTTGGAACATTTTGTAAACACACTCATATTAGTGTATCAAGTTAAACATTCACCAAAATGCTACTGGTTGGGCATTAAAACGTAGAGATAAATCCAAGCTAATCCCCAAACACCCCACAAAGTTGTGTGCAAAATGTCAGGGTCCGTACCCCAGAACAAGTAGAAGTTCATCATTGTTAATGTTTATGTCAACAGAAACATCTCTTTATTTAAAAGCCATATGACGGTTTTCAATTTAGCATACATATTACTTTTCAAAACTCTACCAAATGAAATGCCCAAATTGTTCTGTAATTACACGATAGTTACTGCCTTGTGACTGCACAGACTCCATGAATCCCAACTGTCTTCCCACACAGAGCAGCAGGCTCTCCAAAAGACAAACTTAATGTATCTTCTGGGTCAAATGTTTTTGCTTGTGCCCTGCTCCATTTTCCATCATCATGTTACTTGCCACTGCCCCCCTTAATCATAGGCTTGGGAAGGGGGATGAGGTCAGCCTTCCCTCTACTGCTAAGGCCACTATTCATGGCTCCGCTGAATTAAAGAGAACCCACTCAAGCGCACTGCCGCATGTTACAATGCCAACCTGTCCCCTTCATCTCAGCACAGCAGTGATCCCCATTAACCCAGTGCTGGTTTTAATTACAACACAAGGATTATCTCAGTTCCTTATCACAGAACTGTGATATCTGAAGGAAAACAATTAGTTTGGTGGGGTTTTAAGATCAGATAGGTAAATGTGATAAGTTTTCCTTTTTGCCAGTACAAAATATCTCTAAAATATAAACTTTCCTTAATTCAACTGAATCCAAATAAACTTGATACTGAGATAACTGCACTCAACCTCTGAAAAAGTTTTCAGGTCAATTTGTTGGCACTCAGTGCAGATCTGGTCCAGAACTTTAGGTGAGGGGAAAAAAAAAATCACACCACCGGGAAATCTGAATATGATCATTGAACCAGGGTCTCAATTACTCATACAGGAAAGAAGTCTTATCAGATGCTCCTCCAGCCATCGTTAGAAGTAAGCAGATGAATGAGAAGAGAGAGTCTGCACAGAGTTACTAAAATAAGATGAAATGGAAGCTGGCAGCCCAGTCTCTATACCCAACGTGGTTCTGTTTTATGAAGTTCTGGCCATTTTTGACACTGACCATTTTTGACCTCAGCATGTGCTAGCCTTGCAGAGTGGAGACTAGCCAGTTTGGCCTCTCGGAATGTTGAGGAGAGCTTGGGACTGAGAGACTAGAGTAAGTCATTGGCAGAAGCCCCTCAAAACTGCAGCATCCTAAACTGAGGTACTGCCTCTCCTGGAGGGTTATAACCCATCACCTTCCCAGCAAATACTCCTCTAGCACTAGTCATCAAGTCAGCAGCTCCAGGGTACAGTGCAATGAGTTTGGAGATTTGCAAAACTTAGACCTGCCACTCACTTTATCTCCCCTGATAGGAAGCTCTGGTTAATGTTCCAGTACCTTTTTATTTTCCATGCTTCTCCCTCTTTCTGGAACCCTCCTTCCTTCCCAGGTTTTTGTGGATTCCTATTTGTCCTTCAAAACTGAGTTCAAACTAAGTGCCAACTCTCCTCAAAAAAACTTTCATGACCACACAACTGCCCCAATCTGATTTATATAGAAGTCTTTTGTCACTCTCCCAAATGCTATAAATGCCATTCAGATCACCTTACACTGCCTAGTTTTAAAAAGCCATACTTATCTGTGAGGAGCCACATCTTATTCAACCTTTTCCAGCCTGAACCTGGCATAGTGCCTGATTCTCACAAAAGAAGGTCATTACTTGCACAACCTCTCTGTGCCTCAGTTTTCTCATCTGTGAAAGGGTATAAATAATAAGACATAACTGATAGGGTTATTGTGAAGAGGAAACCAGAAAATGAATGTAGAGTGCTTAGAAGAACTGTGAGCTCTTATTGTTAAATATTTGTAAAATTAACAAGTAAATATAATCTTCAGTAAGTTAGTTACTTTAGACACAATATCTTCTATGAAATGGAGATAATCTTGTTTCTTTATAGGATGGTAGTTAAGATCAAATGAGATAACTAGTTGATGAAAGTACTTTGAAAGCTGTAAAGGACTATTTAAAAACTGGCATTTTATTATTATTACCTAATAAATTATATAAGATTTCTAAGCCAGAACTCAAAGAAGAGTCTTTAGTGGCTGGTTAATGTAGGGGCTGCCCAAGGCCTTACCCAAGCCTTGGGTTTCTTCCTTTACTTTCCAACAGAGACCATAAAGGTACAGTCACATGGACTATGAATAAGGGTAAGGGAAAAGAGATCCCTAAGGTCTAAGCAGAATTGAGAATACTACCCATCTAAAGAGAACACCAACATCCACAGAATCTGGAACATCCAGGGAACTCGGATGTACAATCATTGCTGAGTGATTCTGATCATATCACAAAATCTATGAAATTCAAGAGCTGGAAAGGAGTTTTGAAATCACTTGTTCCTATTCCCTAATTTTACTGATGAGAAAACTGAGGTCTATGGATCCCAAGCCACTGGCCCAAAACTACATGTCAAGCTAGTGACAAAACAACTCAAGTCTCTTTATTTGTAGCTTTATGTACATTTTGCTTATACTGTATCATGTTCCCTTTATCCTTTCTGGGGTGGTCTTTAGAAACAAACCTGTGTTCAAATTTCAGTTTAACCATTTATTAATTCTGTGACTGAGTTATTGAACTGATCCAAGCCTCAATTTCTTCGTTTGTAAAATAAGGATGATAGTATCTTTTAAAAGTTTACTATATGATAAAAGGGGTAATGTCTGTACATCAGGTAGCAAAACCTGTGCCTGGTACTCACTTCCCCCCTCACTAATTTCCTATAGCAACTATTGTGATGTTCTTTAAAACGAAACAATGCAGAAAGACCAAGACTATATTGTAATGCATCTCTTTTGAAGAAAGCATCTAAGAACTGACATTTGTAAAATTTTCTTTTGGTATTGAAATGGTTAAAAAAATCTTTCTGGTTTAAAATCTGACTGCACCAACGTTCCTACTTTCCACATAACATGCCCTTCTCCGTGGCAAACGTCACGTATAACAGGGTATATAGTAAAGCAGTGTATAGCACAGTGCTGCACTATATCTCATGTTTGCTTTCTCACCTCTGCACCTTTCCCACCAGGTACCATTAGGCTGCCAGCTCCAGCTACTGCTTTATCCTTCCTTTTCCCTTTATGCCCAACCGTGGCTTTAAGGATGTCTTGTCTGTGGACAGCTCCCTTTATCAACACAAGACAGAAATTGCTCCAGAGTGACCTGGGCTCTGTCTTCCTCAAGAGACCAGAGGCCTCTTGTCCATGTATCTGGTGGCCTATCTCCCCTGGCCAGTGCCCCCCACCTCCTCCACAGGCCCCTTAGCGGCTCACCTGGCCACCAACTTCTCACCCTCTGATACCTGCTTTTATAAAAAGATGTGGAGACAGGACCAAGTGGGAAAGTTGAAGTGGGCAGCCACCTCCACAGCAAGCACAGGGCCTAGGCCCGGGTCTCTACCTTAAGTGCAACAAAACCTAGCTGTTTGCCTTCCCGGGGCGGCTCGGTCCCCAGGACGCCGGCACCCCAAGGCACCCCGCGCGGTTTGCATCTGCGGCGGGGTCCCGGGAGGATGCAGGGCCGGGACAGCCTGGAGCGCTCAGAGGAGACAGGACCCACGGTGGTGACGTAGTTAGGAAGACACAGCTGGCCCCAACTAGCCTCAAACTCTGGGTCCTGATCCCTTCTCCCCTTCCTCCCCACACCCAGGGAGACCCTTGAGCCGCTTTTCCAGCCTCTGAGTTGGGAGCAGGAACCTGGCACCGGGAAGCCAGGACAGCGCACTCCAGCCACTCCGGAGGGCCCTCCCCCGCGGGCCCCCAGCCGCAGTTTCGGTCCATGTCGCGTCCGGACGAGTAGGCGGCAACGGGCAACCTTATTCCCGCACTCAGGGGCGAGGGATATGAGGTGGGGGAAAAGGAATCTTCGCGAGTGTTAAGGGGGGAGAAGGTAGCACTCCTGCGGGGTCTCCCCAGTCCTGTCCGGGAGAGCGACGAGGTCACCCCGCTCCATACTGTCCCCACGGGAGCTCGGGGTGGGCTGCTTATCCTGGTTAGCAGCCGGTGCGCACGCAGACGCGCGCGTCCTTCCCCACCCCGACCGCTGATCCGCCCAGAACCCACGCCGGCCGTGAGGGGTGTGCGCACCTCGTCTCCGCGTGCCCCGAGCGGCCCCCTCTCCCCTCAGCGACACTTCGGGCGCCGCCCCCGCCGCCGGCCCGGCGCAGCCAGCTCACCAGATGGCCATCCTGCTCTTGGGGTAGTCCAGCCGCTCCAGGCAGCCGAGGAAGTGAGGCAGCGTGTGCGCAGCGTTACGCGCGAGGACGGCCACCATCACCGTGGGTCTCTGCAGGGGCGACTCGGAGAATACTACCGCCTCCCCTTCGTCGTCTTCGGAGTCCGGCTCGGCAGCGAAGCGCGCCCGGCAGCCGCCGCGGAGCAGAGCCCACGAGAGGAGTAGCAGCGCCCAGGCCAGGGGGGCAGCGGGGCTTGCGGCCATGTTCAGGGCCGTGGCGGGCGGCTGGACCACCGGCCGTGGATGCCCGAGGCCGGCAGCGAGGGGCGGAGGGGAGGCGGCTGGCGCGCGCGCACTGGCAAGACCTCGGCAGCCCGGGACCCTCCCGCCTCCGCCGCCGCCGCCGCCGCCGCCCCAGCTGCGCTGCTCAGGCCCTGCCGCGGGGGCCCGGAGTACCTGCCGCCGCCGGCGCTCGTCTGGGACTCAGGCTCGCAGACAGTCGTGTCGGTGCGGCTGTTTGTCCCGAGTCCCGCGGAAAGTTCCTCTAGTCCAGGCTCAGCTTGTACAGCTGAGGTCTGTGGCTTCCCCCAGAGCCGTGAGGTGTGGCCGTGTCTGCCAATGGGCGTGTGAATGCGTGTGTGTGTGTGTGTGTGTGTGCGCGCGCGCCCGCGCGAGCGTGTGTACATAACGGTACGACTCCAAGAAAATTTATTCTGCTTTTGCAAACCGCAGTCTAAAGTCCTTCACAGTGATGCAATGTATCCAGTTTTTCATAATGCACTTATTGACCAAATGGGTAGAGCTCTAAAATGGAAAGTCACCTAATGATTCACTACTATGATAAACAGTTTTTTAACTTCCACAAAGGCAGAATGTTTGCATTTCCTCACACTCAAGTGCTCTTTAAATTCATTCTTGACTGAGTAGACCCCCAATAAGATCAAGTTGGAAGACTTGGAGAATTTTAGAGCCAGATCGAACCCTTGAAATTAAAGAAAGCTCCTTGGGGGCCAGGTCCTCTACCTGCCAACTCAGGGTCCTGAGCTTCCTGACAGGGTGGCCTGTTAAGGAGGAGATTCGCTTAGATGGTTTTCTTTCTCCTTAATGACCCAAACTGACAAAGAGAGGGAAAATCTGTACATACTGGAGGAGAAGTATAAGGAAGAAGGAAGGAAGAGGGAAGGTAAATTAGCAGATAAAGTGAAATTGCTAGGATACACTATCGAAGGATATTTAATCTTGAACATAATGGAGGAAAGCTAGTTTAAAAATCTGGAGTTCTTTCTCTGTGGAATTGTGTAGACTTTAATTTATCTGTGTGCAGGATGGATTGATGACCTCCAATCCCAGCTTGCCCTACACGGTCTTTTTACTAGTTGTATCCAAACTTCTCCACAACTATTAGACACCTTCTTCACTCTCCTTCCACCCCCTCCCTTCCTCAGAAGAATATCACCTCCTTTACTGAACTCCCTAAACGCCCCTGTCTCTAATTAATATCCCTATCAATGCACTGCTTACTTGCAGGTGCCTATTCATGACAGAGCTTCTGATCCCATCCTCTCCCTTCTAGTCCAGGACTTTTCTCCATTTATCTCCACTCTACTGAACCTTCAACTTGTCCCTTTCCATCAGCTCTTTTCCCTCAAGCTAAAAACTCAATCAGGGGACTTCCCTGGTGGCAGAGTGGTTAAGAATCTGCCTGCCAATGCAGGGGACATGGGTTCGAGCCCTGATCCAAGAAGATCCCACATGCCGTGGAGCAACTAAGCCCATGTGCCACAACTACTGAGCCTGTGTGCCACAACTACTGAAGCCCATGTGCCTAGAGCCTGTGCTCCGCAACAAGAGAAGCCACTGCAGTGAGAAGCCTGTGCATGGCAACGAAGAGTAGCCCCTGCTTGCCGCAACTAGAAAAAACCTGCGTGCAGCAATGAGGACCCAATGCATCAATCAATCAATCAATAAAAAGAAAAGAAAGAAAACTAAAAAAAGAAATAAAAGAAAAACTCAATCAGTCATCTTCTATCCTTAAAGAATTAAAAAACAAAAAATCTTGGCTCTCTTTCTAGCAATCCCCTCTCTTGGCCAAGTCCCTTTGAAAGAGAGCTCTACACTTGCTTTCTCCACTTCTTCATTTTCCATCTCTCCACCACAGTGCATGTGGTTTCCCACTTTTTTACTGAGGTTGTTCTGGCCAAGCCATAGATGACCTCAGTATTGGAAGATTCAGTGAACTATCCTCAGTTCTCACCTTCCTGGATTTGTTGTGTCATCTCTCCTCCTTGGTCTCCTCTGAGTCTACTTGGGTGCAAGCCCCTTCACCGTGTACTACTCTTCTAGCCCTACATGTTCTCCCAGGGTGATTGCAGCCTCCAAATCTCTGTCTCCTGCTCTAACCTCTTTGCTAACATTCATACTTTTATGTTTAATGGCCTGCAGACATTTCCTTCTGCTCCATCCTCCTACAGGAATTGCCCTCACTCTCAGTTTTGTAGGGCAGGCTGAGAGTTAAACACCTGTCAGAGGTGTCATGACAGGCATGTACGCCAGCCACATTGGAGGCACAGACAAAGGCACAGCCACTTATGCAGGGGGACATGTCGCTGGAGGGACTATTTGAAAGGTTCCATGGAGACCATCTCCATGTTGTTCTGTCTTCCTTCTTTCCCTTTCTTGGCCTGTTTCCCTCATCTTTCAAGACTAAGATCCCCACTCCAGCAAAACTTGGTTTAATGCCCTGCATTTGTAAATGCAGGGCATTAAAGCTAGGGAACCATGTTTCTGTCTTATTTCACTTCTGTTACCAAAGCTTATCCAAATCCATGTTTTTTTGAAAAATGAAATGAGGCACCAAAACTACACTGGTGCTGCGCCCTGTATGACCTCTAATGACATTTTAATGAAAATCAGCTGCACAGAGTTCTAAAATAATTACGGCCTGGTCTACAGATAAAATCAAGTTTCACAGCCATGCACCTTGAAAAACACCTATTTAAAACTTTTAGTCAATTTAGAGTGTTCATTTAGTCACTGAGGATATTGAGGGCATGATAGGGTAGGTAACAGTGGATCATTTTAAAGACGGGGGTTGAGGGGTGGGGAAGCGAGGAGGGGAAGCTCCGGGAAAGTTGCGTCCTCATCTTACTAACAGATTTATGCCACAAGTTCTTTAGAAATCAGTGATGCAAGTCTTGGATGATTTTCTTTCCTCATACAATCAATGTTATAAAACAGTTAATTTGTAAAAACTAATTTAAAAATAAAAGCTAACTATGCTTCAAAATATTCATCACTTATAATGCTCTTTCCATGGAAAACTTGTTGAATTGAAAGCCACACGCATCTCCTTGTCTCTGCTGCTAACAGACTGTCCCCCATAGTTCTTGCATGCATGTTAGAAGTAAGCACTTTTGCTCACCTCCCCTCTCCACACTGTGCCATCCCAGGGAACTTCCCTCTTAGTCTTTCCCCAGGGACAACAAAACCTCTTTGCCTCTCATTCTCAGCACAGCTGTGGCAGGGGCAGGGCCTCTCAGGTGGACAGAGGACTTCTTGCAGGAAAGAGTCTTCAGGTGTCTGTGGCTCCAGCAGCCAAGAAGAGGAGGAAATAAATGACTTCGGGGCAGACGTAACACACTAGAAAGAGAAATGGATGCTTAGAGTTGCAGCTAAATTTTTGTCTTACGTGTGTCGCTTATTATATGTGTGACTTTGGAGACTTGACCTCTCTGGACATCAGTTTCTCTCTATGTAAAAACATTTTTAAATGCTTGCCTTATTTGTTCATTCCACAAACATTTATGAAATTACTAAGTGTCAATCATTTGGGTGTTGAGTGTTTGAATCCTTCTTCTCTAGAGAAAGGGGCAGAAGGTGTCCTGCCCTGGTGTCCTGCTGGGTCAGAGTTGGAGAAGGGAGTCTCTTGGATGAATCAACAGGGATAGTTTTTCCTGCACCGAAATACCTTTTTTTTTTTTACTACTTGGATCTTTTATTCCCTTTTCTTAACCTGCCTAAAATCCTACAATGTAAACATTTATCTGAATTGACAATGATGCCAATTTCAACACAAAAACACTTGAGAGAAGAATCTTAGGCAACAGTTTCTGTCATTCCTACATTTGTGTGAATTAAATCAGAGTTCGTAATCTCAGTACCTAAACTGAGGTGCACTATAAGAAGCTTTGATGAAGGGAACAGAACGGGATCCTCATTTGGAGCACAGAACCCTTTGATGACAAAGCAAATCCTGTGGATTTCTGATATGTGGGCTTGAGGCCTCCAAGTCCAAGAGGGGGAAAGGATATGGGAAGGTAGAGGGAGGAAAAGAGCCATGACCAAGGTGGAAAGGGCTAAAATTAAACTGTTCCACTTTCAAAGTTTTGTCTAAGCTCTGGCCTGCATCCAAGAACAATATAATAGTCACCATAGGAAAATGTTTTTCAATTCCAAACACATTTACACAAATTTAAAATACATGCCTTTATCTCATTTGAAAAGACTAGATATGTTTCTTAAGTTGTATTCACTTATTTGTTTCAGGGTTTCCTCACTGCCTGCTGTGTCAAGGCACAGGTGCTGGAAATGCATGGATAATTAAGATACATCCAATGAATGAATAAATGTAATAAAGTGGTATACATCTTATGGTGGAAAAGGAAGAGAGTGAACGTGGTTGGGAAATGCCGTATTAAAGAAATGCCTTTGAACTAAGTATTGAAAAATGAGGAGCATGTTTTATGCCAGTGGGCAGAGTGTAGGGAGAGGTTGGAATTTCAGGCAGATGGAACTATAAAAGCAAAAGAATGAGAGAACATAGCACATGAGAAATCACAGTGAGTACAGCATGACTGGAGGGTAGGATAGGAAGTGGGAAGAGAGAAATCTGGAATATTACATGATTTTTATATAATTATCATATATAGACAATCATTTCTAGAAAAGCCCAAAATTCAGTTAAAAATGGAAAAAAATGAGCTAAATAGCTGATGTATAGTTAGCCTACATAGTGCTTTCAAATGTTCATCTGTTTTTAAAGATATTGAATGGTCACAATCATATGGCAGGTTTCAGGTGATTAAAGTATCAAAACCAAAATTTTAGTTTAAATATACAAATTTTCAAACTCAGTAATTTTGAATTTACATGGTTAAATATCTTATTTTAAACAGATAAAAACCATTCTATTTTCAACATATAAAAACATCTTACAAGCATATAAAAGCATTTAGTTCTTCATTTTATTATCTAAAACAATAGTTCCTAATACTTTTTAGAATGGAGACCCTTTTTCGAATATAAAGAAAAAGAAGATAAGACCTTGCACATGACAGTAGTTGTATTTTTGGTAACCACCAAAAGTACCTAATGGCATGATCTGCTCTGGCCTCAGCCACTGTGTGCAAGGAGTCTCTTGGACTACCCTGCATAGGCCATAGGGACTTTTTGACATTGCCTTTTCTCTGGGATGAGATGGGATCGATGGACAGTTGCTGGTGTTCTTGAGTGTATTTTAGTTTTCTGAATGTTCTTCTTACTGATTTATAAAAAGAGCCTGTTAATTAATTATGGCCTGGCAAAGAGAATGGAATTTCCCCTGATCTTGGCAGGTTCTAAAACATATTAACAGAATTAACACAACATTTTAAATCAACTATACTTGAATTAAAAAATACTAACAGAATGTATATTTTATTAATCATAACTGCATGTATAAAATATGAAAACAGGGCTTCCCTGGTGGCGCAGTGGTTGAGAGTCCGCCTGCCGATGCAGGGGCCACGGGTTCGTGCCCCGGTCCGGGAAGATCCCACATGCTGCGGAGCGGCTAGGCCTGTGAGCCATGGCCGTTGAGCCTGCGCGTCCGGAGCCTGTGCCCTGCAACGGGAGAGGCCACAATAGTGAGAGGCCCACATACCGCAAAAAAATGAAAACAGAAATTTATACGTATGAGATGTAGTGCAGATTTAATTAGTCTGTAGATAAAGCTTGGTGCAGAAGTTGTTCCACAGTAGAGTAGATTACACAGTCTTTGCAAAACTCTTTTATCTGCTGGGGTAACTAATAAATGAATTCAGTAAAGTTGCAGGATACAAAATCAATATGCAAAAATCAGTTGCCATTTTATACACTAAACACAAACTATCTGAAAAAGAAATAAAGAAAATAATCTAATTTACAGCAGCATCAAAAACAATAAAAAATTTATAAATAAATTTAACCAAGAAAGTAAAAGATCTGTAAACTATAAGACATTAATGAAACAGAAGAAGACACAAATAACTGGAACTATAAATCTTTATGGATTAAAAGACTTAATATTGTTAAAATGTCCATACTACTCAAAGCCATCTATAGATTCCATGCAATCCCTATCAAGTTTCCAATGGCATTTTTTATAGAAATAGAAAAAAATCATAAAATTCATATGAAACCGTAAAAGACCTTGAATAACCAAAGCAATCTTGAGAAAGAACAAAGCTGGAGGCATCATACTTCCTGATTTCAAACTATATTACAAAGCTATAGTAGTCAAAACAGTAAGGTACTGGCATTAAAAACAGACACATAGACCAATAGAGCAGAATTTAGAGCCCAGAAATATGCCAATTAACATTTGACAAGGGAGCCACAAATACTCAATGGGGAAAAGGATATTCTCTTCAATAAATGGTGTTGGGAAATCTAAATAGTATTCACATGCAAAAGAATGAACTTGTA